TTCAAAAAACCCTTTCCAATGCAAACACTAAATAAGCTAGCCACCAAAGCAGACCAAAAGTTTGCAGAAAATAACAATCTAGAAACAAATCCTAAATAAACTGCATACTATTTTTACTGCTACTTTAAAGCCTATTTTAATGCAGCATTAACAAATGATAACATTTCAGATCTCAAACTTGAAGAAGCTCTAGAAAAAACCATCTTTCCTTCCACTAATTCTCATACTCTTGCACATATAATCCTTCACTATGATATCCAAACTAACCTACCAAATTTTCAATTTCTCAAATTCAACAAGAATATAAACTTAAACACTATATCGAAGCAGAAAAATTTATCATTAAACATTACAAAATTAATATCACATCTTTTTTAGATAACTTTCTTTTCCTCTTCTCAAATCCTTCAACTTTATACAGTTTACTTTTTTAATAATTCCTTCTATAGACAACATTAATGCAACTACCGCTTCCAAAATAACGATGTACTCAACTAATAGTGGGCCATTTTTGGAAGAGAATAATGTAAGTAGGCGGGTAGGAAAGCCTATTTACATGGAGGACCAAAATAATGACGGCCAGACCCAACATACAAGACAGGCTATAGTACTCTGCACAACTGTGAGAACCAAGTATATGGCAAGCGCCTCTATAGAAGGAATACTAAATATCTCAGATTCCAATTCTTCCAATTCTTCTGAGATCCAAACTCATGATAACTTTTTTATACTACCTACTTCACAACTCTCACTTTTATCCATGTTTCTAAATACTCTACACTCAATATTAACAACTTTTTCTAATTTACTTTCTAAAGACTCTGATAATGACAATATTTCCCCAACTACATATACAATTTTAGGCAAACCTCCTACCTCTCTCCCTTCTAACCTACGACATATCAACATGCTTTAACAAATTTCTTTTTTATTATAAACTACAACTCCTCTCTTCTCTACAAACAATAGCATCATTTCTTTCATATATTCAAACTACCTACTCATACTTATACTCAGAACACTTTATCAAAATCTCTATCAAACAAAATAAAAATGACAATAACAATAATGAAGCTCATATATACTTACCAAATGAAACCATTCCTCTTCCAAACCATTTTATCCCTTCATTCAAAAATCTCTTAACATACTCTAACACTCTACTCAAATCTGATTATATACAAATACTATCTTTCTAAACTTGCGAATTCTCTCTAAGCACTCTCTCTAATCAATCCTCAACTTCTGAGCCAATATCAGAATACATTTCTCTTCCCATTAATATAGCTTTACTTAATATCAATGGTCTTTCTCAACCTAACAAAAAACTCTCTATAACAGAAATGCTTAATACCAACACTTTTGACATCTTAGAATTATCTGAAACACATCTCTTAAACAAAGAAGGAAAATTTCTCAACAACTAAATACCAAACTACAGCAGTTACTGGAGCTCTTATTCATCACTACACCAAGCCGGTGTTGGAATCCTTATTTATCACAATATAGCTAAGTATATAGCATGTACTCATAACTATAATGGCTACATTATAGGTTTAGATCTCCATTTTAAAAACCTAGCAATTAGACTCTTACAAATTTATATTCTATCTCAAGAGAAAAACAACTCCATAAAGATGTACAAGAACAAATTATTACACTCTCTCAAAATCCTAACTACAAACTCATAATAATGGACGACTTTAATGGCGTTCCAAACCCAAGATCTGATCGATTTCCTTCAAAAAAATCTCCAATACCCGAATCACAACTTATCAAATTTCTTCAAAATTATCAATACAAAGATATATATTGCTTTTTCTTTTCTGAAAATCAAAACTTTACTTTCCAATGAATATTAAAAGCAAAATAGACCAAATTTGGACTAATCTGTTAATTACAAACATTGAATACACAGATATCCTTCCCAACTCTACCTTAGATTCAAATCACTCCTTAATTACCCTTGAAATATCAATTATTATAAGCAAACCCAAACCACATAAACAACAAAAAAGAAAATTCTTCCTCTGGAAAGACTGCTCTAATGAAACAATCCAAAACTATGCTAATTAAACTACACAAAGCTTTAAACACATTTTTCCTAAAATTCCTTTAATTACTTACCAAAATCATCTCAACCTTATATGGAACCAAATCTCTAGAGCTCTAATTAAAGCAGCTAGCAAACACATTTCTTTTAAAAAAATCAAAACAATTAAAGAAGTCCAAGACTCCCAACCCTTCAAACAATCACCATTATTTTATAGATATAAACAAATTCAATATCTTAAAAATTATTTTCACTTAACTAATTTTGATAATTTCCTCAACCAGTATCAAATACAATACCCTAAAAACTCTCTACAAACCAAAACCCCAACCCTTTCTCAACTTAAAAACGAATTTCAACTTACCAAAACTGCTCTCAACTACCAATACTAACAAAATCTCTACAAAGAAATTAAATAAAAAATTGAAATTTGAAACAAATCTTTATCGAAGCACCCAAACTATTCTATAAAAAAATTCTTGAAAAGTTCAATAATATTAATATCAATTATCTCCTCACTAATAACAATCTACTTACAGAACACAGTAAAATTCTAAACAAAATTCACTATTACTTTACCGATTACTTTTCTGAAAAACTCCTACATCCAATACCTTTAGAATTCCAACAACTATATCAACTATATCCTGAACTTGAAATACACTATTATGATTTATTCAAAACTATCTCAGACCAAGAATAGACTGAAACAATATCTAATCTTTCTAACCAAAAAGCAGCTGGTCCCTCTGAAATTTGCTACGAACATATTAAACATGCTAGCACCTTATCACAAAATATTTTCAAAGTATTTATTAATAAATACTTTCAACTTAAGAAAACACTAGCAAAAAGAGAATACACTTTTGTTTTTTTTTTTTAAAGAACCCTTTTATATTTTAAAAAATGATAACAAAGACTAAAATTCATATCTAATATTTGAAATATAAATTATATATATTGATATAAAAGTGCTAACAAAAAAAGAAAATATTAAGTACTGGATGGTTTTTTAAATCAAATCAAAAAAAATAAAATAAATACGGGCAAAGAATATATACTAGAAACTTTTGTAAAAAATTAAACTGCATATAACTAAAGGAAAGACCACAACACCATCTACCAACAACAAAAGAAACTACTACACACTTATATTCAACAACTTACTTGTGGTGAAAGGTGTCATTGAACACCAAATCGAAGACGAACAACGTTTTTGCAAGCACACCAAAGTAAACACGATGCAGAACGACCAAAACAATAAGCTTCAAACTACCAACACCACAGCCCCAACCCTGGAACACACCACTAACAATGATAATATCAACAACCCACATCAACAAGCTACAATAACGACTAGCGAAGAGAATACAAGCCAAGTAGCCGAAACTAGTAATTGGCGCTATAATCATGTGATGCTAATTGTCACGTGGTAAAATATATAAAAATCAACAATCTAATTATTGATTTTTATATATTGTATCGTGTGACAATTAGCATCACATGATTACGGTGCTAATTACTAGCCGAAACTAACGAAAATTCTGAGACTACAACAAACCAAGTGACGTCACCCACACAACAAACCAATTTGGAAGTTACCTAAGCAAATATCTCCACGCCAAGTACTACAGGCATTGAAGATCAAATGATCACTAATCAACCGGTCACAGTAACTGAAACTGAGTTTAATCCTAATACTAAAAGAGATCTCACAATAGCTAAAGCACTAGAAAAAGTATCAAGGTCAACACTGATAGATCACAAGAACTAGATAAACTTAGTTAACAAACAATAAGCATCATACAGTCAAATAGTAGCAAGATCAACAAATCACAGCATCTCACCGGACCAACTTTAAACACCCAAAATAGTCAACGAACTTGAGAAAAGGAAAAAGCAAACTTTCAACTACAACCTATAGAATAACGACATGGTGATCAAAGCACTAAGTGACAATATACTATTTGAGCAACTGATTGAACACAAAGTTAAAACAGTTATGCCAACAATCAACATACCCACGGCAATTGCAAACAAATTAAAATACTGGGATATAGCATTCTTTAGATTATTCTCGAGAGATAGAAACACCCAATCTGACCACCAGAAAGAATTCAATTCACTACTGAGCATAGCAATTGAAAAATACAAACACAAACACAATGTCTTGTTAATTAACAAAAACAACTATGACCAGATACATGATAAACTTAGGAAGAAACTAGCTATCGATGCAATTTTGTCGTTAAACCTGTCCCTACTAGGGGACCATACAAGCACCTAACATATCTACTACTTAATGAATTTTGGTAAAATTGAATCAACTATAGAGTTTGAACAAGCCCATAAAACTATTGAAAAATATCAGTCAGAGAACAGATTAGAACTCCTGAATAAACCGAAAGACTTACCGATCGATATAAATGAATTTTTACCCTTCACATTACCTATCGAAGATAACAACAGAATAGTAGCAATAGTTAAAGCAATAAGACTTATATTTAACTTCGGCCAACTATCTGATACTTATTTCGTAACCGTTAGAATACCTCTACCTAGAGACCCAGAAGAACTAAAAGTATTGAAGTATATATTCCTAATAAGAGAGCGCAACAGATTAGCTTACTTAGCTGAATACTGCAGAGAACTTAAAAAGCTCTACACACTCCAGTAGGGACAAAAGGGGAGTTCTGGGACACTTTTTTCACACCTCTATATGACATATTGTTAAAAACCGCTTTAATCG